TTTTTCCTCTTTAAAGAAAATGCTTTCTCATGACCTGGAAAGGAGAGAATACTACTTGGCAAATTAACCTCATTTTAAGTGAACTTCCCTGGAAATGTATAAACTTCATTCCTGAAAAATATGCCGCTTTTTAGAGCGAGACTAATCAATTGACATAATTCAGAGGAGGCTGGGATGAAGACTTTGTAGAGAAGTCTATATAAAATACCTGGCACCCAGCACAATGTGGGTTCATTCCAAAGGTAAAAACCTTTGCTTTTCAGAAGGAATTTTATGAATCCCAGGGGTAAGCCCTATCTGGTAGGGATGACTTAGCAATGTCTAGAGAGGAAGAGCAGTCCATTAGTGGCAAGGAAATCATCCTAACCATCCCTTCACAGAGGAAATGGTGGCGATGGAATTTTAACAAGGGGCCTCCAGAACTTCACTAGACTATGAATCAGCTGCAGTATGTTGCAGCGTCTTCTAGGTCCCTGGATGTGCTCCAGGTACAAGAATGTGACCACGACATCAGTGTTGAGTGAAGGATGTACAGGTTTTGCATGTCTGATCTGGCCTATTTTTGAGAAACTGACCTAGACCCCAGTCCAGCAACTGCTTCTGTGGGGGCAGGTTACCACTGAAGTCAATGGGGATCTGTATAGAAAACTTCCCCTTGTGGCTAAGTAAGTAAACATAGTTATGAACACCAGTTGATATTAGGAATTGCAATACTTTGAATCTGGGAGTGTCTCTCCCTAGCAACAAGTGCATTCTTGCCAAGCCCTTGGCTTAGTGCAGACCATGTGAACAGGTAACAAAAAATGTGCATGCAGAAGGGTGTGATAAAAGTTCATGCCTGTGCACAGGTTGCATAAGACACATGTTTTTCCCTCTGATGTGTTTAGAGACCTAAGAAGCAGGAGAAAAGTGAACGACAGTGCAGTAATGGTGGCAATGTGCATTCATGACAGCTGATGACTATTCCAGTACAGAAATGGATTGCCTTCAATTGTAAAAGTCACTCCTGGTCATCTCTCTGTATTTACCCAGGCTCACCCTATTACTACAACAACAGGCAAATAGCTGACTTCCCTATGCTATTTTAAATTTATCCGTAGAAAGAGAAGTACCCCATTAATCTCAGTCCAGTGGCTCATCTTTGCAGTCCATCTTTTGCCTTACAGTGTTCCCCAGTGTTTCTTTAAAGACTACATTCTCACATGCCGGAATTGGACATCCATGTAGTCTTTTAATGTTCCTTGGCAGCAATAATCTCAGTTCTAGGATATTTCTAGGGCCCAATCTTATTTTGTTTTATCCTACTTCCTGGGGTTGTAAAGTTGTGCACTGATTCTTACTCAGTCTCTTACTTACAATTGGTCCTAATTAACTAGTTGTTCTTTGGAGAGCTTTTGAGGCTGGCTTGCATTCCCCCTGTTTATTAGTTAATGTGTATCCTCGAAAACACGCTGCTATCCTATGGGGGTAAGAATATTGAGGCAAAATGAGTGAATTGCTTTACTCTATGTACCAGACATAGTGTTTAGGTTTTAATAATGCTTCAGCTAGTTAAGGGGAAAACACATTCTGTTCATGTGAATAAACTTTTTTTTGTAAAAGCTACAGAAGACTAAAAGATGAAGAGACTTGGTAAAAAGACGGAAGGAAACCATGGTGAAGCACTTCATTCATACCTTGGTGCTGTGGAGGGCGAGTGTGTATGTGAGACATTGCCCTCTAGAGGGCTGAAAGATAGGATACAGGACTTGCTGCTGCTACAACCATCAGCTAAACAAGTGTCATTCTCTCTCTCCCTCTTCTCCTGACCCCCCATTAGTTCTGAGTCCTGTGTAAATGGAACTGAAGGAGCAGAATTCTAGTCCTAGCTCTGTTGCGAGATTTATAGATGGACTGACTGCAGCACATCGGTTTGTTCCAGCAGTCGATGAGAGCAACCTTCTCCATAATGAGCCCATTCCCCTGCAAGTACAGGACATAGTTCCCAGTGGAGGTCTTATTGGACAGCATTAAATACATTTGCATTAGCCAAATGTGTCTTCATCCACCCAAGCCTGTGTATGCTACCCAAAGCAAGTGATTAAAAATAGATCGAGTATTGTATTCACTGGTTAAACATCTTTAACCTGTGCCCTATTTTAGATTATAAGATGAAATGTGTTGCTCGTTGAGACATTACTCTGTCTGTTTTAAATAAGTCCGGTTTTAAGCTCTCTAAGTGCATAGGATTTAAAAAATATGGAGCTCTTGAAATGATTGCACTTAATTCTCAGTAAGATTCAAGCTGTGTTTGAGCTCGCGTGTGGTTGGTTTTGGGGCATAGTATTTTGCCACAATTAGGAAAGTGAAGTTTCTGGAGAACCTCTGTTCCTGGGTTGGTGGAATCTGGTGGAGATGATTTGTGTTTCCAGAGGCAGCTGTTTGCAGATGAATTAATTCTGCAGCCCGTCCGTGACAGAGAACTGTGTGGTATACTCCTTCTCCTACCCAGTAAAAGGTAAAAACTTCATAGGTCCAAACTCCTGCAAGGACACAATGTTGCAACTCTAGGCTAGTAAGGGCACCTCCTTTAAAAGGAACACTTGAATTGTGATAGTTACACTAGTACTGAAGTCAAGGGATAGCTTTCCACCTCGCATGTACTTCACATCATTTTTAAAAAAAACTAGTTAAGGACCTTTGAGCATGGTTATTGTATGCACTTGCCTCACTGGAAAATTTACAAGTGAGTTGATCAAAAGTTGGTAGAAATTCCAGAAAATATTAGCTTAAGGTGGCAACTGTTGCTTAGGCAGTTCAAGCCCATGAAATATGGGTTAGGAGGAGATGCACTTTTATTCTAATTATGAAATTCCTGTTACAAGAAGTGATACTTTTTACAGTTCTTAATATTGTATAACTGCCAGCACCCTGTGACTTAAGGGATATTATTCACATGGGGAACTGAATCAGAGAAATTAGGTGACTAGGCCAAGGCTGCACAGGAAGTCTGTAGCAGAGCTAGAGTTAAACTTAGACATTTAGGGCTGGTCTATACTTAGCCGCTAGTTCGGCGGCTGGAAATCGAACTTCCGGGTTCGATTTATCGCGTCTGGTCTGGACGCGATAAATCGAACCAGGAAGTGCTCGCCGTCGACTGCGGTACTCCAGCTCAACGAGAGGAGTACCGCGGAGTCAACGGGGGAGCCTGCCTGCCGCGTGTGGACCGCGTCTGAACCGCGGTAAGTTCGAAGTAAGGTATGTCGACTTCAGCTACGTTATTCACGTAGCTGAAGTTGCGTACCTTACTTCGACTTGGGGGGTTAGTGTAGACCAGGCCTTGGGGTCCCACTCTGGTGCCTTAACCGCCCTCTATTCCATCTGATGCTGACATTTCCTATGAGGCTGTGATACTTGGTTGAAAAAACAGCATTCCCTATTGAAGCAGAAAATGTTATACTCAAATTTGCAATGACAACAGTAATAACAAGTTCTTGTTATAGATCTAATTGTATGTAGGTGATGGCTGTTTGAGTGACTTTGGCTATTGCAAGACTGTTTTAAGATTTAATTATCCTAACTACACTGAGTTTTGCACTGGTACAACAATGGACTTTGAAAATGAACACTGGATTTAAGAAAAATTAAGCTAACTCTTGAGATTTCTGAAGCGTATAACAGTAAGTTTGCAAAAGTATTTAAAATTATTCATTCCTGGGTATATATATTCAACCAGAGAAGAAATACATATTCCAAGTTCAAGCTTTTGGTCTAGAAAAGCGTAGCTAGAAAGCAATGTTCTGTATTCAGTAACAATAACAAAATGCTTTGTGTAAAAGCTCAAGCGTGGGTTCAGGTTTTTGATGAACCGTGTTTAACTTTGTTAGTGTTTTGTGTGCAGACTTTGTGAGAATTCCTATCTCTAAAGTCCTATGTAAAGGATGGTGCACATTTTTTATACCACTTTAACCCTTAATATTTTTTCGGGGGGAGGGAGGGAGAGAGGGGGAAGAATAGGATTAGAGAAACTCTCAGGCAAGTTTAACCCTACTAAATTACCAGCACTGTTCAGAATGTCTGTGCAGTGTTTCAGTGCTCTAATTATTTTTCACACTCATGGGAGCCTCTGCTATCATCCCTGTAGTACTCTGTTGAAAATCCATTCTCTGAGGGATTGCAATGGTTATGCATAAACTTGTGCCTATAGAAAAAGGTTTAAATTCATAGTCTACTTGCACAGCGCCTAGCACAATAGGGCCCTGATCTGGTTAGCCTTTGCACCACCACAATATAAATGTTGAATAGTAACTTTTAAATGTCGCTACCTGTGTTAATAATAACTTAACATTATTAAAACAGAGTTTTAAACATTTTAGTCTTATTTTTGGCTTATTACTAGTCTGATTTCACTGAGCCCCGATGACTCAACAGAATCATTTAACTTATGCCCATTTTTGTTTTCTGGTTCTTACATTGTTAACTTGTAGGCTGCAGATGCAGTGGGAAGGATACTATTACTTCAGAAAAAAACTCTTTTAGAGAGGGGGTCATTTGTAAAATAAAATAAATATGTAATATTTAAGTTTTTGGAGTCAACATTGGCAGAGTGTCCCTCTTAAAATTCTGCGTATACATCCAGCATTGCAAAAATTAGCACAAATGCACTTCTGTGTTCTGCTGTCCATTAATCAAGAATCTATACAGCATCCTTTCACCCAATCAATTGAAGAAAAGGCTGCCAACAATCACTTGGCATTTTCCTGGCCACTTTTGCGCCTCAAGGCAGCCTCACTCTTTTATTCCCTAGCCTACAACTTCGCAGCTGGCAAATTAGGTTTTCCCACAGCACTGTTAAATGTCCCTGGACACCAATAACAAGGAAGTGTTCCCAACAAAGCTAATGAACAAGAAGGAGGCTAGGGAGGGGTTTCTGGATTAGCGTTATCAAGGAGAAATTTTAAGGTGTGGTGTTTTTCAATTAAAAACAAAACCAAAAAATTCTGTTTTGTTTTCTTTAATAGAAGTTGGTGTCTTGGCAAAGCAGTATTTAGAGCGAGGCCTTTTGGTACCGGATCATGTCATCACCAGTGTCATGATGATGGAGCTGGAGAAAAAGCAGTCTCAGCATTGGCTACTTGACGGTAAGTAAGCTGATGTGCATGATTTTGGTATCCTGGGTGCAATAATCTTGTATCCCTCTGCTCTGGTAGCTCGTTGTGGATTGAAAATCCCAGTCCACTTCAACCTCCTTGAAGCCTATTTCTTTGAATAAGACATTACTTTACCAGGAACGATTTCACAGGAAAAGGAATAAAACCAAGCACAGCTTTTCAATATTTTTAGCAGCTAGGGAGGGGTGAAGGAGAAAGCAAAAACACTTCGGAGCGCTTTTAAGGACAGAGCTGTTCAGAGCTGGTCTCCTCTTAAAGACTCATGCTTCCGAAAATGAAACTCAGATCCTACTTGCAAGAGATCACAGGTACTGAGGAAAGATTTTGTTAATTTAAACAAGAGGTCAGAAGCTCCACTCAACATACTGTCACTCTAATGGAAGGGGTTTTACATCACCATCATGGTAGTCGTACAGCATGGAACGGTGCCTAGTATGATGCGCATGGGGCTCTCCAGATCTCGTACTCCCCGGCGCGTACTTCAGGAGGTGAGGGCCGCTTTGCCGCCCGCTGCTCGGGTCTATCTCGACCGGGTCCTGCGAGAGGGCACGCCCCGCCCACCCTCCACTCCGAGCCCTCCAGACTTTTTCATCGGGCCCCTGCCCCGTGGACCCAACCGCCCTGCCCCTTCGCCATGAGCCGGCTGCACGATCTGCAGCCGGTCCGTTTTCAGATCGCGTCAAGGAAACATCTATACACGCTCGTGCTCCATACCCTTCATGTCCTCACCCTCGTGTCCTGCCCCGACACGAAGTGGCGGGACCTCCTGCCACCTCTGGAGGGTGAGGAGCCCCGGTGGGCCAGCCTTTACTCTACCCTGATCCTGAGGCCCGCCGGGGACATCAGTTGGCGGCTCCTTCACGGGGCCGTGAGCACTGGCGTGTACTTGGCGCAGTTTACCCCTATCCCAGACACCTGCCCCTTCTGCGGCGTGAGGGAGACCCTGGCACATGTTTACCTGGAGTGCGCCAGGCTGCAGCCCCTATTCCGGCTCCTCACGGATATTTTGTTAAGATTTTGGTTGCACTTTTCCCCTCACCTTTTTATTTATGCACTCCCTATCCGTTGCCCCACAAAGTCACGGGACCTCCTGGTCAACCTCCTCCTGGCCCTGGCGAAAACAACCATCTATAAAACCAGGATGAGGAGGTTGGCCGATGGAGTCTCCTGTGACTGTGGGGCCTATTTCCGATCCTCCATCCGTTCACGTATCCGGACAGACTTCCTCTGGGCGACGTCCACTGACTCCCTTGACGCCTTCGAGGAGCAGTGGGCGCTGTCCGGGATTCTCTGCTCGGTGTCCCCGTCTGGTTCACTTCGTTTGTCCCTTTGACCGCACTCCTGTCTCTGTTCTTTCATTAGTTGTCCCCTGTAATTTTTTGGTCTCCAGGTCCTGTGGACCCCCCACCCCTTAGGCTGGGGGGTGGGGGGATCCCAATAGGATAATGCGTCGTAGAGCGAACTGCTACCGAGGATGTCTGCAGTCACCATTCGCCCTACTGCTTCCTCCTCCCCTGTGGGTTCTTCGTATCCTTAACAGTCAGGTCTCTGTAGCCCAGTATCAGCAGTTTTCAGACTATGGGCTATGGCCACCAGAAATTCTGTGAACCTTGAGGGGCTCTGTGTCACAGTTCTCTTAGCTCAAGGGGAGAGAGAAGTCACTGCTGGTGACCCTCTGTGCAGAGGAAGGGGGTAGGGGTGAAGGGAAGATGTACAAGCCCCTAGCTTGTTCCCCCTCCTTTCCACTCCTGTGAGGAGCAGTGCACATATGTCTGGCCAGTCTCCCCTGGGAAGGTATGTCAGAATCCTTGACTTACACCAGCTTTATGCAGCAGACAAACTCTCTCACGCTGCCGTTCCAAATCATGACATGAAGCAACTGGTGCATGGGAGTGACTGGACACAAGCCAAGATAAATCACTTCTTGTTTCTTGTTCAGAGACATGTGAAGTATCAACCATGCATCGTGTATGCTAATCAGAAGCCTTAAAAACACTTTGAACATAATTAGCTTTGTTTTTTTATAGCCATCTTGGTTGTGAAGATGAATTTTTGTTCCTGCAAATAATTGAGCCCCCAATTTTACATCTAGAATCAATTGTGGGAGCACTCAAGTAGTGGGATGTCTAAATGCGACAAAATTGGAGCCCAGATAGAGGCCTTTTGTAAATATCAGTCCTGAAATATGAATTGTTTTATCAGAGTAAGTGTAGTTTTAAAATCTGTGATGCCCCTAGTCTCCACTGTTGCTTGCATTTAGTCTTTCATATGTTGCACTAAATATTTGATTTTACTTACTAGTAGAGCAGTGGTCTTGCGTTTAAGTGAATGTGAGGGGGTAAAATGAACATTTTTTGCAAAAGTTCCATTTCTTTCAATGAAACTTAGAAGAAACATTTCTGAGCATCTCTAATTAACTTGAAGGTAAAAACTGACTAATGGAGAAGCATTCAGACACCATGGTAATGAACACAATATAAGCAACCACTTGTTCATTTACATTCTAATTAGCTGTTTGTTTATAAATGCATACGCTGGAGATTAGGACCCACACTAGAACTGAACTCTGTTCAGAGCATTCCCTAGAGAGGTGACCTTTTCGGGTGGGCATAATCATTCAAGCCCTCTGGTAGTTCCTTAATCTGGGAATCCCAGAATTTGGCCATCATTAAACTAGAACTCAGACCTACGCCTCATTAATACAAGCGTTTATCATTTCTGTACTGAAATGTTGCTGTTCATGGAAAAGCAAATAACGTGTTGCCAGAACTCTTTGGGTTTTGATGCGTTCCTGTCTCTCCAAATAAAGCAACCAGTGTTGGCCCGTGTTGCCATGAAGTGACTGGAATGGTTTGTGGTACTTGCGTAAATGATCATCTTGTTTCCTCATGAAGGACGCCAACGCTCTGAACTGCAGGCTCTTGTTTCTCTTGCAGTGGCTTTGATTGACACCTAGAGAATTTAAGGACCCAGTCAAGGCTGCCGTACAAACATAAATTTAACTTTTTAAAATGCGTATTTCTGAGTCTCTTCTAGCTGCCTTTGGTGTCTTTCCTCTGCTGCTACCTTGTCTCTGCTGCTTCCCTTTCTTGTGCTCCTTCTCTGCTTGCATTAGCTGCACCACAGAGAGATTGACTTCAATCTCGAGTTCTTGTGCTGATGCTCCTGGCACTGAAATCCTGCTGTGTTGCTGGTGCAAACAAGTGACTGGAGGACAGATATGAGCGTGATCAAATCAATAAGAATACCTGGATGGCTAGATCAAGCAACGCTGCTGCAAGTGGAGTTGCAAAACTGTCCTATTGCCAGGTCTAGGCAGGAAAGAATGGGGGATGTATGTCTCCAGTATCCCATGTTGTTTCTGGCCTGGGGGATGCTAGAAAGTCTTGAGGCCCCTTAACAAAATCCCTATGTTCCTATTCTCTCCTTCTTCCTTTTCTCCGCTTTCTGCCTTTGTTGCTTTTTCACTTCCTCCATTAAAACAAACACACACACACACACACACACGCACACCTGTGTGTCACCCACTTGCACAAGTCAGAAAAGAGAGCATTTAAAGAGTCCACTGTTCCCCTGGAGGGAGTAAATACGTTGCCAAGTGAACAGGTCTTCCTGGGGTTTTAACTACCAATATAGCTTTCCAGGGAAGTGGGGACCAAGAGCAGTCATGCCATTGGTATGAGTATTGTGCTCACAAGGAGACTCCTCCTGAATGATGAAGTTCAGGTAGTAAGCTTTACGAAGACTGCAGTACACTGTGCAGCATATAGCTAACCTGTGGAACCCCTCGCCACAGGAACTAGTGGGGGCAAAATAATGGGAAGAATTAAAGGGCTTAAACATATACATGAATTAATATAACTGAGGCAGCTCAGCCTATGACATCACAAAGGCCTTCAAGCAGCAGGGCTGAGATCCTTGCTTCCCTCCCTTTCGTGCCTGTCCTTGGCACAAGTGCATTCTGGGGAGTGGACTCTTCTTGCCCTGTTGCATAAGGTCACTGTACTCTAGGTAATCTGTCGTACTGGTGTTCTAGAGTCGTCGCAGCTCCTGGCTTTAAATACAGGTGTAGAGAGTAAGGGTGTGCACACACTATTTCGGTGTAGCCTAGGGTACTTCTGGGCTCCTGACTTTCACCACTTTGCCACAATGCAACGTTTTGGCTTCCCTAGTCTGTGCTGTTGTGAGGGACCAAACAGCTGACTTGACTGTTAGGCTTAGGATGACCAGACAGCAAATGTGAAAAATTGGGACAGGGGGTTGGGGCTAATAGGAGCCTATATAAGAAAAAGATCCAAAAATTGGGACTGTCCCTATAAAATTGGGACATCTGGTCACCCTAGTTAGGCTCAAAATGCCATCCTGGAGCAAATCACAAAACCAGACTTTCTTTTGGACTGTCTTCATTGGTTCTGATGCTGCAAAACAGCCCTTAAGGTCAGAATGACCTTGGCCGTGGGATTTAACATGCCCAGTCCCTGTCTCTCTGCCTCCCACAAAAAGAAAGGAGCTAGCGATGAAAATATGCTCTACAAAGCAGAAAAAATAGCTGGCGTTGGAGCAGGTGCCGGGAGCCGTTCTCCAAAGTGAATTGTAGTAAAGGTGCACTATTTTGTGTGTGTTTATTCAATAAAAACTGACTGGAGTAAATGTCACTCTGTACCTGGAGAATACAAGCTCCAGCATGACATGTAGCTGTGCAAATTTGTTGCAGATCTGAGGTGCCCAGGGAGATAGATATTTATAATCGGTTTTTACTGGAGCATATCATTGCTGCTGGGTGGTGAGAGTAGCAGGCTTTAGCATTCCCTCTGGCTGGGAGGGATAGCGCTAGAGAATTCCCTCTGAGCTTGAGCAGGGAGGGATACAGAGTATTCCTTTGGGTTACCGGCAGAGATGCAAGATGAGGAGCAGCTGACTCCTTGTACATGTGGGAAGGCTTCTAGATGTGATGCATCCAGGTTCGGGTGTCAATGGCTGACCTCTCTGTAAATGTTGGGAGTAGTGGGGGGTAATAATCTCAAATCAACCAGTGCTTGGTAACTGCTGGAGCCACAGTACATAACTGTTTTGGGGGGTTTTTTTTGGAGGTACTTAGACTCTTGCTGTGCCATGAGGCAGTGAGTGTCTGTGGTGGTACTGAGCTTGGAGAAAACAATAAGAAATTATCCCTCTGTGAGCAGGTGTGTGAAAGCCTGGCCTGGAATGACTGGGCATATTGACACCAACGTTGGAGGTAATTTTGCATTATACACAGTTTGCCCTCACTAGATACCATTATACTGGACACTTGATTATTCTAAGCAAAATATGGCACCCCACACTGCTCCTCCTAAACTGCTTGAAAAGCCCCATCTGCCCTTCAGAAATGTTTTCTCGCTGTTAGTGTCTGATATCACAAAGGAGGGGGCAAGGTATCTTTTGTAAGAATATGGGATGGGAGTAGGGATTTCAGGGTGTTGGAGAGGGCTGTAGAAACCATCTCACTACAGTATCCTCCACACCCCTTGTGCAAAACTAAGCAGCATGTATATTTTAAACACTTGATTAAGCCCTGAAGTATGGGATCAGACACTGTGCATGCAACAAAGTGGGCTGTCTAAGGCATGGAGTGTAAATTCTTGTGTTTGGGTTAGTTTGTTTTAAGTGTACATCTATTCAAAGCCTCGGATACTTACTGCTTTTGCTGTAACAGAGGACTGGCGGTTTTTCAACACCAGCGCTGATATTGTGAAACTGTTCTTCATGATCCAATAAATATTAGTGTCCTTTGTTAGTTCATGTGGCTTTTTTTTTTTCTCTCTCTCTCTCTTCCCTTCCACTCCCCATTCAGGTTTTCCTAGGACACTGGTGCAAGCTGAAGCACTTGACAGAATCTGTGAACTGGATCTAGTGATCAATTTAAATATTCCATTCGAGACGCTAAAAGATCGTCTAAGCGCTCGTTGGATTCATCCAGCTAGTGGAAGAGTGTATAATATGGAGTTCAACCCACCTCAAGTACATGTAAGAGAATTTACCACATTAAAGACTAATTTTAACTGGAGAAAATTTAAATCTACTTCTAGATCAGTGAAGATGTCTCCACTCAAGAATGGCTTATTAGTCTTTTTAAAAATATTAGGGGGTGAAATCCTGTTCTACTCTAATAAGTACTGAATGCATGGGAGTTGAATTCTTCTTGCTAGATAAGTTTTAGAAAACTAGTTAAGTTTTTCATGCTTGGGGGCCTTAAGAGGACAGCTGAAGATTGTGTGCAAGGCTGTTTCCAATCAGACAAGATTTATTTAGGAAAATAAGATTTATGTTAATCATGGTGTAAGAAAATGTCCTACTATAATTACTGTGATCCAGAATACCACAGTGTTTTATTGTGCAGTCACGGCACAAATGCTTATCCTGGGAGTTATGCAAGCTAGCACACAGATGCCATTGTTATCAAGGGAAAATACAAGGTGTTTTACAGTAACTGGTACGAATGTCATAGATCAATGTTAATTATCCCTTTGCCTCAGATTTTTATCTACTATATATATTGTAGTAAGTAAAGTGTCTTTCAGTGATATCATCTTACATGAATGCAAGTTCTTTATAGCTGGCCAAATTCTATCCTCCGTTACACCCATGCAACCCCCATGGCTCACTGTGTGGCACTGGTTTAATCTGGCACAGTGTTCATGATGTATTGTTTGTCTTGTACACAGGGGATCGATGACATCACGGGTGAACCATTAATCCAACGGGAAGATGATAAACCTGATGCTGTTGCTGCTAGGCTAAGAAAATACAAAGATGCTGCAAAGCCAGTAATAGAATTATATAAGTGAGTTTGAATGCACACAAGTAATACGGACTGTGCCTGTAAAAATAAGTGCTAAGTTTTCATCTCCACAAGTCTGTTCTTGGCTTGCTCAGGGATATCTTGAGGTGGCCTCTCCCAAGTAAAATTGCGTATGTGTTAAGATTTTTGCCTGGCCGTAATCAGCAGCCATATGCTATACCTTTTGGGGCTGGATTCAGGGCCCCACTGGAGTGGCATATGGCAAGCGTAAAGAGCTGCAGTGGGCCAAAGAACTCGCCCAGGGCAGGAGCAGTGTAGGGGTAGTGGAAGAGGTGAGGCCAGGAGCAGAAATACCTGTTGTGCTCGCTGCTACGGGGATTCTGGGCTGCAGAGCAGCCCTGGTGAAGCTGCCTTAAATTAGAACACACCCTAGGGCTGCTGTACCTTATGCCAAGGCCTGTTTCAAGCCCTACAGTAGCCCAGACCTCAGGCAGTGAGATGTGATTCCTTTGCCTTTCTCCTCTGCTGCCACTGGTTAGCTAGATTCTGTGCTCTCTCCTCTTTCTTTTCAGCCCAAAGCAGAGCCTTCCTTGGGTTCAGCTCAGGGGATGAGGCTAATTTTGCTGTTAAATTTAATTATAGGGGGATTCACCATTTCTCTGTTATGCTTAATCTGCTGCGTAAGGACAGTTGACTCTTTTAAGTGTACATAGTGTTGTGTTTAGAAAGTGCAGTGTAAATGATAAAGAATACAGATTATTACGCATGTGCCTCTAAGAGAATAGAATTGTATGTGTGGTTTTTAATCTAGATTTTTTTTTTTAAAGGAGCTTTCTGTCTAGCTCCCTCCCCCCCCTTTTTTTTTTAATCACCTCAGCTGTCAGCTTTAGATTGTGCTGGTGGAATCGCATGTTTGAAATAGCCGTGTATCTGTAAGCAGATGTTTATGAGAGGAATTGTGATCTATTGATTGGAGCACAGAGATGGAGCCATCTGTAAAATGGAAAGATCCCCACCTGTCTCTTAAGGATGCTGTGTGTTTGATTGAAGCTGGAAGATTTTAAAATTAACATTTCTGATTCTTTTAACTTCTTTAGGTAGAGCCTCTCAAAGCACTGGACAGTGAGAAAGAGAAAAGCTTAGAGACACAACAAAACAAAACCTGTGCATAAAAGTGTAGCAGAAAATCAGTTTTAAGACTCCAGATAAATGGAGGTTAGTTACTTACTGGCAGCATGTTCCAGGCACAAAGACCACAACAGCTTTCTTTGAGTTAAAACAGACTCATGAATTATTTGTATTGTTGTAGTGCCTCGGAGCCCCAGTCATGGGCCAGGAGGACGCCTTTGTGCTAGGTGCTGTACAAACACAACAAAGATGGTCTCTTGTCCCAAGGAGCTTACAATCTAAGTATAAGATGAGAAACAACAGATGGGTATGGTGTCAGCATGCTAGGCAGTGTTCTCAGCACACCAGCTGCCTTCAAATGCAGTTTTATCTCGTGAACAACAGGGGAAAGTGGAAAGGACTCTCTCAACCCTCCATATTTATACGTGCACTAGCAAACCAGATATTGGTGTACAGCGTACTAAAAAAAGTCTTTCAAGAAGTTTGAAAGAACTTACCCCACTAAAATTTTGAATGTGACTCACCAGGTACCGCTTCCTTCCCTGTAATTTTTTTCATTTTATTGTTCTGTACCAGTAAACATTTGGAGCCTGATGTAATAGGGCTAATCACACGAGTCAGATTATTCACATGCTTAAATATTTGTAGGACTGGCTCTTAAGAGAATGTGTTCATGTTCTTGCCTATGCTGTGATTATTTTGGGGCATGTTTTGTTGTAATAGCCGTGCCTTGCTTTCAGCTCTGTGCTAACGATCTAGTGATTGAGACTGAACATTTTAAAGCAATGCAGCATTCAGTAACATTTTAAAAGTTGAAATAGTCATATGGAATGAAAGGGACATGAAATACAAGGGACTGAGGCCCTAAGTCATCCAGGACCTTAAGTGTGTGAGTAGTCCCATTGAAGCTTGTAAAACACGTAAAGTTAAGCCCATACGTTGATAAGTTTGAGGCTAAGGCTTTTACCTTGCAGTTGTTCTTCTGATGACACATCCATTGTAATGTGCTTGGAGATCTACTGTAATGAGCAAAGCTGCACTGCAGAGGGACAGACTGGATAAGTCTCTTGTATATAAAATGTAGTACACTCCTGTCCAAGATCCTAGGTACATCCTTGGGCAGGTAGCCCAAACTGCCGCCCTTCCCGCTGCAGCCACCCTGCTATTTGTAGCACATGTACATCTACCTGAGTTGGGAATTACACCTCCCAGCTGCAATGTAGACATACCCTAAGTAGTGAAGAATCAATGAGTAGATTAGATGAACATTAAGCATAATTGGCTTTTTGTTTCTACTGTAAATTACACCGCGTTTTGCAAAAATTTGACCCGAAACTTGACCTGCAATCCAGAATGGTTATTCGAGAGCTTAGGCTACATTCATTTTCGTTGGTTATGCTCCTTTGCATGTGAAGGCAAGGGATCATAGACACTGCATAGTCCTAATGTGTTCCAGAATTTTCAATCCATTATACTGATTTCTAATCTTAATTATATTTTTCAGGAGCAGAGGTGTCCTACACGCATTTTCTGGGACAGAGACCAACAAAATCTGGCCTTATGTTTACACTCTGGTTTCCAGCAAGATCCGGCCTGTCAATTCCAAAGAAGCTGATTAACCATCTTATGTAGAGGATCAAGAATTTAATATGGTTGTTCATTTTGTTTCTCTGTGCTGTATTGGTGCTATGCCCAGTTAGAGGATAGTACAATGTCTAGAACAACTTCTTGGGTTTACTGGAGTTTACAGTTCTGGAAATGCAGTTACAGCCAGCGTCAGGGTGGAAAAGAACTCTTTCTGTAAAAGGTGAAGTCTGCTGGAATAAATTTTAGTTTTCATGCTATAAAGTATTGCTGATGTGATCTGGGAACCCTAATCAATGATGCAGACTTACATATACTCTTTGTCAAAAGCGACAAAGAGTCCCGTGGCACCTTATAGACTAACAGACGTATTGGAGCACAAGCTTTCGTGGGTGAATACCCACTTCGTCAGATTCTCAAACTTCACATGCGTCTGACGAAGTGGGTATTCACCCACGAAAGCTTATGCTCCAATACGTCTGTTAGTCTATAAGGTGCCACGGGACTCTTTGTCGATTTTACAGATCCAGACTAACACGGCTACCCCTCTGATACCCTTTGTCAAGTCTCTCTAACCTGTCATGGTTCCCTCCAACCTACTCCCAAATCCATGTACATATGCAACGTGCTGCTCCATTGCTCCACCACACCCTTTTCCTTGGGATAACTCTACATGGCAACTTTTTTATTTTCTCTAAGAAATAAAAACCCTAAATGCAGACTTTGACCCCATGGGGAATCAGTGAGTAACGTGGAAAATATTTACACTGAAAAGCTCAAATGTGAAGACAACATTTCCAGTATTAATAAACGTAGAAGAAAAAAAAATCCTGGGGGTTAAATATATACTTGTGCTGTCCTCCAAAAAAAAAATTGAAAAAAAAAAAATGCTGCTATACGATCTAATTTTCGCTAAGTGGTATGATATATGCCAACCAATAGACCAAGAAACTGAGTAGGCCTAAGTTTGTCCATGAGAAATGAGTTGCACTAATTTGTGCTTTGGTTGTTTATAACTTTAACACTACAAGATATGGGCATAGCATATTAGTTTGTCCCAAAGATTTATTCTAATGTCTCTTTTTTTTGGGGGGGAGGGGGGGGTAATTTTCTCTGGAAAAAGTTCATTGTATCTATTCTGCCTTATAACTGAGGTTCTTTCTTTTCTCAGTATACAGGGGCTATTCTGGGGGGAAATACCCTTAGCAGGGGATTACTTTTTCACATAATAATGGAACACTTTAGGGTCTGGTCCTTCAGGTCTTACACAGACACAATTCTCATTGACATCTGTGAGAGTTATGCACGTGTGTTGGATGGCAAGAGTGGCAACCAATTGGTGGTATTTAAGCACTTTGTGAATCAAAAGCAAATTGTTTGTTCTTGTACATTCCTTGATAGGCAAAACTGACTCTGTTACTTTCTGTACGCATTGTTGTTGTAACTGTGTTGGTCTCAGGAGATTAGAGGGACAAGGTGGGTGAGGTAATACCTTTTATTGAAAGTTGATCCACTAAAAGATAATGCTTCATCCGCCACCTTGTCTCTGTTACTTTATGCTCAGTCTAGTCTTGTGCTTGAGGTTATGTACAGTTAAGCATGCAGCTAATCTAAAAACACTGCCCAGCTTCTTGCCAGAAACCTTTCCAAGCACTGAATAAAAACACTGCAGTTTTCTGGAGGCGTCTCGATTTTAATATAGGCTTTTTTCTCTGTTCAGATTTTTAGTTTCTGGTTACAGCTAATGGAAGGGGAAAGCTTTACTGTATATTTTTTTTTTTTTTGGTCCTCTGTAGACATTCATTTCCAGTTTACAGCTACAGCTGCAGTGATCTGAAACACTTTGAACTACTAGTGATTCTTTTTTTTAATTTGTAGGGGGAAATATAAGTGTTCCTGGATTGACAATATTACATGTGCATGAATTGTTGTGAACAAACACCTTTAAGGTGTATGAAATCTCTTCCTCAGTTTCCTTTGTTCCTATTTTCATGTGTTTGAGTCATGAAGCTAGGTGTAGTGGTGGCTTTTCTAAACTGGAATTCCTGTAAATTTGTTTGACTTGATCTTGAATACTTACAGTACCTAATTAACAGAGGGTGTGATTTACCTCGTAAGGCCATGTCTCCTCAAGTTGCCTTATTTTATAAGCTATTTAAGAAAATCCAAGATGTGTATTTTTGAGAAATAAGAAGCTGAATTTTACAGAATAGCCTTTAGAGAACTCTTTACCAAGCTGTTTCAGTCGCATAGCTTGCTACAGTCCACATTATTATCAGTAACCAACTAGAAGAGCTACCTCCATATTACAACAGACCAGTGGTTTTCAAACTTTTTTTTTTTTTTCCTGCAGACCATTTGAAAATTGCTGAGGGTCTCGGCGGACCACTTAATGATCTTTCCAAATGTTTTGTACTGTTAGCTAACTATTGTAAAGCGCTTTGGATAAAAGCGCTATATAAAAAAAAACCTTAATAATAATTTAACGTTTTTTATTCTACAAATAAAAGCACACAACTCCTATTTTAATATCAGTAGTCTTACCTTTCTAATGTGATGGATGTGCCCTCTCTCACCTGCTGTGGCAGCCCCCGAGCTGGGGCTGGGAAGGAGGGCCGTCTCTCCCTGGCAGCCACAGCCCTGGAGCTGGGGAAAGTTGCCTCTTTCTCTGGCCACCGCAGCCCTAAATCCCCCTCCCCACTGCCCCCTCTTCTCACCCCACTGCCCCCTCCCACCTACCCCCTATTCCCCCCAAGGCCACCACCTCACCTTTCATGTGCGTCCTCTCCAGGGTCCAGGCACCTAATTAGTGAAGCCATGCCTGCGTGGCTCCGCTAATTAGGTGCGTGGCCCTTCATTTTCTCATGTGCGGCCGCCAAGGCGCGCACCATAGAGGGAACTATCCACGGACCACCTGAATGGAGCTCGTGGGCCACTGGTGGTCCATGGGCCACCACTGTTTGAGAACCTCTGCAATAGACAATTTGTTTAATTACAACAGTTAACAAGCAGGGCAAGCGTCTGCTGCTGAAATGTCATAGTTCCTGCGTTTTGCTCTTGAAAATACACTCCTGAAGAGTGGCTATAAATCTGTAGGGGGAGGATTCTTAGGTGGAACTTACTTTGGCTTTCTGAGGCCTGGGGAGATTTGTTTGAGTAGAACATTTTTTTATTTTAAAGCACCGGAAGAATTGTCATCCTACTGCTTTTCCCAGCCAGGAAGATGCTAATGTTTGTCTTGGCATTCTTTTGGGATGGGAAGACAGTGGGTTATTGGTATGTTTGTACCCTCCCTTCTTTCATATCACTCACATTACATTGGCCCAGTAGTGCACTAGATTTCCACCAGCCTTATTCTGGATTCCATTTTCTTCCCTATAAATTGTGGCCCCCTCCTGCTCCTGGCAGTAGAAGGCACACTCTGGTAGTCCCAGACTATTGCAACCAGTTGGCCATTGTCATCACTAGCCCATCAGACAGGCAGGCATCTTGTGACCCATTTGCGTCTTAGCCATGATGAGACTGAGCAGTATTGCACAGTACGATCTCTCACTGAGGACCGTGACTGTTGCATTCACAGTAGTATAACTAGGAAGTTGGACCCTATTTTGATTACAGAACCACTGTGAAATGTGGTGAGGTCAGTGCCTCCCTAGCTGGAATGCATGGCTTTGGACTGGGATCAGACAGCTTTCTAAATGTCATTACTGTCCCTTTCTAAGTGAGACAAAGCAGAATTGGTATTTGTACTGCTGTGGTATGAAAAGGCTGAGTGGAAAAACCCCAATGGCCTGAACCGATCTCTCCACTAGTGTATGGGGCAGGGTTTTGAGGTGCGTGGAGGGAACAACCTAGAGGACATGAAGAGGTGTGTGCTACCCCTCCTGGGAACCCATGTTGTGCACCAGGGTACATATCAATCCATAGGGTTTTGGGGGTAGGGCCAAGAATGGGAGGTGTAGCACCAGTTATGGATCTGCTGGGTTGGGAGGCCTGGTTCTCAGCTGCCTATCCATTCTCCACTAGTTGCCGTCTACTGAGGGTAATTATATAAAGGAGGCTCTGAGGTGTTCTAAGGCCTGCTCTCAATGGGAGACTTCCCACTGACTTGAATGGAGCAGAATTGAATTACAGCGCTAACAAGGTTCTCTCTTGTGGGAGGACAGGGAGCAGCCGCAGAGCATGTGGGAGATCTGTGCTAACTGTATGGATGGGGAGCTCCTAAAAGGGATCTACCATCCATCTAGTTAAAACATACTTGTAATGATTGGTCCTTTCCACTAGCAGGACTGTACTCTAAACAAAAGAAATGGCTTAAATTCATAATATATGTTAGCAACAAAAGGGGTTATTTGAAAGTAAAACTGCTGCTTGAAGAAACAAATGAGGCTCCTGGAAAACCTCTTCTTTCACAAAGGGGTTAGGTAAAGGGTATTTAAATTATTTAAAAACATAGGGACAGTGGGAGGTGCTTGTGTGCACATCTCTGACCTTGAATGCTGGTGTGCCCCACTCACTGCACGGGACAGACCACTGCTGCATTTCTAGCCATCTGAGGAATCGCATATGCTGTAGTAGTCACTGTTTGTTGCCATGAGTGTCTGTTCTGTGGGATGAGGGTTGCCAGAAGGGAAGGCGCTAGGGCAGGAGTCTTCAGAGCACTCCCATTCCCACATGCTATTGAGAAGTGTGATGGAGGGAATGCCGAGTCTGGGAGATGTCTGGATGGAGCCCTTGGAAAGCGACTGCTGTATGGGGTGGCGAAGAGAATAAATGTGACACCTAACTAAAAATTCCTAATATCTAAAATATATGGCGTTAAATTTATCAAAGTTGCTAAACTGATGCAACTGTTGAGTAGGAGGAAAACACTTACTGGTGGAAAAATAAGTGTGTGGGAAGGGATGCATTTGAGAATATTTTCTGTTTGCCAATAGGTGTTAAACTCCTGCTGGAAATGCTGTGTAATCTCCATTTTAAGCAAGCATTCAAATCCAGGGTCTCATTTCCCTGCCTTTACGGTCCTGCCCTCCAGTGCCGTTCAGGGGGATATATTTGAACAGTGTCATTTGGGGCTTTCCTTTGTATCCATTATTTTTATTTGCTTTTGGTCTCTGTATTGAACACATTAAATGTTTTAAGCGTCTTCCTTGAGATCATTCTGCTTATCTTTATCCAAACCTACGAAAGAGCAAATGCTGCTGTTTCCATTGTTTTTCAGGCTGTTGTATTTCCTAAGACCAGAGGCTCTTTTGGGCATCCCATGCTGCATCTTAGGGAAATTCTTCTAGTTATGCAA